GGACCCAGTGGCTTAAACTCACACCGGGCGCATGTGCATGCATTCCCAAGACCCAGAGAGGAGAATGGAGAAGAAGGGATTGTGGCATGACCATCCCCCCTGGGGGGTGATTTCTAGCTTTCTGTGTCTCTGTCTTTTTGGCGAGTGCACACGCCATATAGCAAAAACCTCTTAAAAAAAAAAAAAAGACAATCATAGAATCTGTCTGGAATCATAAAAGACCTTGTATTGCCAAAACAATACTGCACAAGAATAGTGGAGTATTGACCCCCAAATATAATAAAGCTGTGATAATCAAAACAACATGGTATTGGCACAAAAACAGTCAAGTGGGCAAATGAAATAGAATAGAGACCCCAGAATAAACAACAAAACACCAAAATATATCCTTCGTCAAAATGAAAAATGATTTTTGACAAAGGATACTAGTCAATCCAGTGAGAAAAGGAAAACTTCTTTAGCAAATGGTGCTGTAAAAACTGGGTATTCACCTGCAGAAAGATGAAACTGGATCCCCATCTTTCACCACTAACAAAAATCAATTCAAAAATGATCAAAGATCTGTACCTAAGACCTCACACTGTAAAATTACTGGTGGAAAACACTGGGGAAACGGGGAAACATTAGCGTAGGCAAAGCCTTTTTAAGTAAGACTCTCAAAGCACAGGCAATAATTCCCAAAATAGACAAGTGGGATTGTATCAGATTAAGAAGTTTCTTCCCAGCAAAGGACACAGTAATTAGGATGAATCAACAACTCTCAGAGTGGGAGAATATTTTCATAAACTATGCCTCAGATTAGAGACTGAAAACCAGATTACACAAGGAACTCATGCAGCATACTTGAATAAAAAAAGATTAACTCAATTAAAAGATGGGAAAATAAGCTAAACAAAATACTCTCTAAGGAAGCCAAATGAATCACCAAAAAACATATGAGTAAATCCTCAACATCCTTCATCATAATGGAGATGTAGATTAGAACCACAAAGAGATACCATCTAACCCAAATGTCCATGAACAGATGAATGGATTGAAAAAGTGTGGCACATATACTCTATGGAATACCATTTAGCCATAAAAAAAAACCCTGGCATTTGATACAAAGTGGTCGAATATGGAAGAGTTATTACTGAGTGGAGCAAACCAGCCTATGAAAGAGATATTGCATATCTTCACTTAATATATACCAACTGTCCACACATGGTAGAGATTGAAAGATTGGAGGGCAGAGAAGCAGTGAAAATAGTTATGGATGCTGGAGACAGTGTGGAAGGAGGGTGGGAGAAGGTAAGAGTATAGGGAAGGAAATCAGGGAGAAAAAATGTAAAGACAAGACATTTGTGGGACACAGAAATGATTTAGTACCTATTGATGATAACGTGTATCGTATTTTCAACTTGACTTGTCTGAGAAATAGTTCATGTTGGGTAAATTCTCTTTACAAGCCAAATGATATATAACAATTGATGTTTAAAAAATAATAAGAATAATAAAAATAAATTTAATTTTTCAATTTAGCAGTTCAAGATCATTTATTTAATAGATTACATTAACATAATCTCTCCCACCAGAATAAAGAGATACCTGCCCTCCCACTTTTCCAATAAAAATTATTTGGATTAAAGAAATAAATGCATATCAAATATTGGTGATAAAATATAATTCTCTAATGGGCCAATAGCTGGCATTGTGGTTAAAGCATTGGATTTCCACTAGACCCAGTGGTTTAAATGTCTCATTGGGTGCATGTGAGTGTGTGTCCCAAATCCTGAGGGGAAAATGGAGAAGAATGGTTTGTGGCATGGCTATCCCCCCTGTAGGAGGGAATTTCAGTCTCAGTATTTCTGGCAAGCATAAATGTCCTCTAACAAAAACCTCATGTATATACACGTGTATATATACATATTTATACATATATATATATATATATGCATATATGTGTGTAGAAGAGGTGAAGAGATTGGACTAAACATATGACGTTGCATTGTGCAAATTTAGGAAATTTTAAATTTTCAAGATTATTTATAACAAAATTATTAAGCATATTTCTGAAACCCTAAAAAATTAACTCATCTTGTGCCAGTAGTTGGTGTGGTGGCTAAGGAGCTGGACTCCCACATGGCTGATTGTGGTTCAAGTCCCAGACCTGGTGGCTTGTTTTCTTACTTTCCCTCCCTCTCTCTCTGTCTCTCTTTGGTCAAATTAAAATCATCATCATAAACAATTCTTTAAAATAAAAAAGAAAATTTATTAATTTGGACTCAGTCCCATAACAAGCAGTTAAATACTATGTAGAAAAAGTTGGATATCTCATGATGGAATAGGGTTTGAGTTTTGGCCTCAGTGACTTGGAAAAAAAGCTGAGTGACCAGGATCCTGAAGTGATGGAGAATTAGAGGAGACATGACCAAGCCATGTCATAACCAAGCCCTGTTGGGAATCGCCTTCCTCTCTCTTTCTCTCATGCACACACATATGTGCATGCTCTTTGACATTTAAAACAAATAGCTCATCTGATTAAAAAAATCAAACTTCTATGGTGAAAAATAAATTTTAGAAACAATGGTTTTTTGTTGTTTTCCAACCTGTGTACATCCTTAATGTAAAATATTCTTGCTCCTTCTCTTGTCCATGGTATCTCCTGCCTCTGTCTTTGAAACCTGTAACATCCTGGTCATTTTATTTACTTACTTATATTTTTAGTGGAATTATTTATAGTAAAGTTTTAAATTCATCATAAAATTAAGAGGAAGGTAAAGAAATTGTCCATGTATTCCTGGTTCCACATGTGCATAGCCTCCCTATATCAGCATCCTTTGGTAAAGTGGTACATTTGTTATAGTGGATGAAGCTGCCTTGACCCATCATCATCACCCTAAGACCAGAGTTACTGGAAGGTTCCCTGTTGGGGATTACATTTCAAAGGTTTAGACAAAAGTATAATGACATGTTTCTACTATTGCAGTATCAGATCAAATAGTTTCCCTGTCTTAAGAATCCTCAGTGCTTCTCCTCTTTTTCTCTTCCCCACAACTCCTAGTAATCATTGATCATTTTCCTGTCTCTATAATTTTGCTTTCTATACAATGTCATATACTTGGAATTATATTGTATTTAGCCTTTTCAAATTTGTTTCTTTCACTTAGTAATGTGTATGTAATATTGCTCCATGTTTTTGCATGGCTTGACAGATTTTATTTTATTAATACTGTTACTAATTGATTGTGTCAATGTACCATAGCTTATTTATCTATCTACTGAAAGATATGTTGGTTACTCCTAAATTTTGGCAGTTATGAGTAAATTGCTGTAAACATTCTTGTGAAGGTTTTTGTGTAAAGTTTTCATCTTCTTTGGTAAAATACCAGGGAGCATGATTCTGGGATCATATGAAAGAGTATGTTTAGTTTAATAAGAAACAGCCAAACTGTCTTCCAGAGTTATTTTATCACTTCACATTCTCACAAACAAATAATTAAAGGTTGGTCATTTCATTATTTTTGTTTAAAGAGAGATTTTTGGTATAAGGTGCATGCACTCACCAGAGAGACAGAGAGATACAGAGATACAGAAAGTGAGAAGTCATCCCGCAGGGAATGGCCATGCCTGGGATATTGCGAACACATTCACATGTGCCCGGCACAAGTTTTAAGCCACTGGGTCCAGGACTCGAACCACAGTTGACCATGTGGGAGTCCAGTGACGTAAACACAATGCCATCTGCTGGTTCCATTTATTTCATTTTCAAGTGAGGGGCCTATATTCCTTTTGCAAGACTTTTTCTCCAAACTCATTTAGCACTCTGTATCTAATTCTGTCATTTATCATCCTTGCTTTGAGACTATAAACCCCCCAGGGCCCAGCATAGATAAATCTCCAATGCTTTAGATACTTCACTTGTTTCCCTGAACCTCTTCTTCATGATTAGTAAGTTCAGATACTGGTGTGTCAGACTGGCAGGAAAGTGATCACATGTATATATTACATAACAGCATTTTGTTCTGTGAAGTTATACATAATCACAGTATCTTGTGCTAAAGTTTGAATCGAACGATCCTCACTATTTCTACCCATAACATATTTTTTTCAATTATTTACTGGCATTTATTTTGAAGGATAAGTACATGATTGATTCATGTGAAAAGGGATTGCATTTGAAGTTATTGACTCTTTGCCCAATTTTCCTTCTGGAAAAAAACAAAGCCTTTACTGCAATAAATGTTGAACCTTTTAAAAATAAAGTCTAATGAGGTTAGTATATATCCTTGACATTTTGTTTTTAACCAGTGTGAAGGTCACAACAAAAAAGGTCAGAAAAATGAGTTTATACAGCAAGTAAACAATGCTATTATTTTGCTTTAAAAAAATGACATATTGCCCTCCAAAGCTTCTTGAATCAAATAGGATGTTTCTGATGCATGATTTTGGTACTCTAGCCATGTTCTCCTTCCATTTCTTAGATTTTGGAATATAAAAAAGTATAATTCACCCAGCTTATATGCCAGGTACTAATGTAAAATATATACTTTTTATTAGTATTCTAGCATTCCATTATTTGAATTTTACATTTAAGTTTATTCCGCTTAATATTTGTTGGCTGATAATTGCTTGATGGAACTTGGTATTTATTTCTTCTGAGTTGGAACCATTTTTTTTTTATCACATATGTTCATGTTCCCTAACTCTTCCACTTTTGTGTTTATAACAAAACTGTAAGTTTGCCATTAAAAAAGAATATGTCAAAATGAGTTTGGAAGGGGATTTTTTTTAGTTGAAACATGTTCCTTTTTGCATATAATGCACAACAGCAGTCCTTTCTTTTCCCTTATTTATGATAGAGTGCATGTATGCACACATGTATGTGAAAGAGAAAGAGGGAGATGTGCATCCTTCATGGAATCTGGTAATGGTGCAATTCCCTTCCTCCAGCCCTCCAGTGAATCAGATCATGGCACTCATGTGTGTCTAGTATGTTTCAGGCTGATGTGACCAGGGATATGGCCTTCGGTTACCAGGTTGAGATTGGCTTCTCTTTAGCAGTGTTGTGCTGCTGCATCACAGAGCTCGCCAGGCAGCAGAAAGTCTTAATTGTGTTTATATGGTATTACACTATATAACATGGAATTGAGCTATTAAATTTGAGCCAGATCTAGAAAATTAAAATATTAAAAATAACACATTTTTCTTTTCTTTCTTTCTTTTTTTTTTTTTGAAGAGGTTTTCGCTATAGGGCGCGTGCACTCACCAGACAGACAGAGAAAGACAGAGAGACAGAAAGCAAGAAACCACCCCCCCAGAGGGGATGGTCACGCTGCAGTCCCTTCTCCTCCATTCCCCTCTCAGGATCTTGGGCACGCACCCACACGCGCCCGGTGTGAGTTTTAAGCCACTGGGTCTGGGACGCAAACTGTGGTCGACTACGTGGGAGTCCAACGATACAGCCATTACGCTAACTGCTGGTTCCTGACATTTTTCTTTTGAAAAAAATTCATGAAACAAAACTTCAAAAGCTTGGGACCATCTTTTGGCGTAAAGGCTACATTGCTGGACTCTCATGTAGTTGAACATGGTTCTAGTGACTTAAATTCATGCCGGGTGTGTGTGTGTGTGTGTGTGTGTGTGTGTCCAAGATCCTGAGAGGAGAATGAAGGAGAAGGGATTGCAGTGTGGCCATCCACCTTGGGGGATGACTTATTGCTTTCTGTCTCTCCGTGTCTCTCTTCCTGGCAAGTGCACGCGCCCTATAGCAAAAACCATGTAAAAATGGTCACTTTGTATTGTTATGTTAATGTATTTTCTGAAATAACATTTCAAATTTTATAGTTCATTCATTTAAAGTTAATATGTGATAAATGTCTAACCTAGGATTTATTTATTTTAGATGAACTTACAAATTCATCAGAAACCAGATTGTCTTTAGAAGACCTCTTCAGGAAAGACTTTGTACTTCATGACCCAGAAGCTCGGTGGATCAATGGTATGTATATACATTTTTGTATTTTAGTTTATTTTTGATTTTTGAGTAATTAAGTACAAGTAATAATATTTGTAGTTAATAATTAATGTTATGCTTCAAAGATTGTATATATTATTTAATCAAAAGTAAAAGGTTTGGGTTTTACTAAAGAAATCCAATTCTTAAGCTAGCACATCAGTAAAACTATCCTCCAAATATTAGGCTGACTGTTCCATATCTGCTGTTTTCTCATGATCATTACTTATATGACTGTAAGGGTGTACACCATCTCTAGCCTTTCCCTAGATAAGTCTTCTTGGTGTAGCAATATATATTTAATATAATATGTATACATGTGTATGTATATACACATACACACATATACACAAATACACACGTATGCATATTATGCATATATTCTTAGATATATAGACACACATATGCATATTATGTATATATTCATATATATACACACACACACACGCACACACCTATATATATGTGTGTCTGTGTGTGTCAAATTTGACAATATAATGTTTTTATTTCTCTCTGTGATTTTTCTTTTTTTTTCCTCTCCCTCTTTTTTTAATCGCAGCAAAGTGGTTTTTACTTTTAAGCTTAAGTGCTACCTACAGATGAGGGAAACTCTGCAAAGTTAAAAAGACTTGGAAATGAAAAGTATTTTGCACTTGTCTTTTTTTTTTAATCTGGTAAAAAAAAATACAAATACAAAAAAAATTCAACTTTTCTTAAATGTATTTCTTTTTTTTTTGGGAGAGGTTTTAGCTATAGGGCATGTTTGTTTGCCAAACAGACAGAGACAGAGAGACAGAAAGTGAGAAGTCAGCCCCCAGGGTGGATGGCGATGCCTCAGTTCCTTCTCTTCTGTTCTCCTCTCGGGATCTTGGGCATGCACGCCCACGTGCCCGGCGTGAGTTTTAAGCAACCGGGTCTGAACACAAACTGCTGTCGACTACGTGGGAGTCCAGTGACATAGCCATTACGCTAACTACTGGTCCCCTCAAATCTATTTTTGAGATTAAAATAAAATAAAATAAAAAAACCACTGAGTTTCTCCCTGGAGTTTGTTTTTTCTTTATGGAAGATAATAAGAAGAGTCATTAGGTGAGCTAGTCATAATAAATATGTTGGATAAAAGTAGTCAGATTTTCATTCTTTGAATATTCCCATTTGCCCAGCCATACTAATCATCATGGTTGGATAGTTGTTCATCTTTGCCCATTATTTTATTTAGACATAATATCTTTGTTTATTTTCAAGGCATAGATTATCTGTATAATAGATAAGAGCAGCTTTGCCATTATAGCTAATAAATATAATCTCATTTACAGTTCATTCCTCCTTCTTTAATATTCTAATTAAGTGCATTTATGCCTGTAAATTAAACTTTAATTTATGAAAGCTATAAAAAGAATGTAATTTAATTCATGAGAGCAGGGACCAAGTCACACTTGTTTACCTGGCTCTGATAGAGTTTCAGGAGACCAGCAGATACTCAAGATATGGCTTTTGAACACATGAATGGGTTTTTCATTTGAAATCCCAGTGCCATTTTTTCATAAAGTCATGTCATTTGAAACCACTTGGACAATGCCTGTGCACCATGTGATGATACTGCAGATAGAGAACACAAGATAGCAATTTTCTTAATCTATTTGTGTATTTTCAACTTGAATTGTTCGTAACTGCAGGACTAGCCATATTATTGCTGTTGCACTACAATTTTTTCAGATGTATATTGTGATTATTGCAGATGACCTGTAGGACTAAAGAAGCCTAATAAAATGTATATTATTAACAAATACTTTCCTAATACACAAATGCCTCACAAATCATTCTTTCAATGCAGCAGTTCCCAACTTCCCAGCACCAGGAGCTGGCTTGGTGAGAGACAATCTCTCCAGATAAAGGGGGAAGGGGTTGGTTGGTCTAGGGTGACCCAAGTGCACCACATCCTCTGTGCACCCATTTTCAACACTACTACAATGAAAAAATTGTACATATAGGGTTTGTGCTTCTGTGAGAATACAGCACTGTGGTTCATCCAACAGGAGGTGGAGCCCAGACCACAATGTCAGTGATGGAGTGGCTACAAACACAGATAAAACAGCCTCCAGTACTTACCTGCTGCCCATCCCCCCCTCTGCTTGGGTGGGAAAGAGGCCAACAAGCCACAGACCAGCACAGGTCTAGAGCCAGGGGTCTAGGGACCCTGTTCTAATGTGTGACTATAAATGTATAAATCATCAGTATACTGGATAGCATAATTTTTTCTGTTGAAAGAGGTAATAAAAAGGGAAATTACCAGGGTATTTTTAAAATCTGTATTATTGTAAGTCATTGGATTTAAAATGCTGAATAATATTCTGTTTTATTTCCCATGATTTGGGACAAATTAGAGAAACATTTGCAGGCTTTGTTTTTGGAAAGCAAGAACAAAAATTATGGGCTTCATCTACCTCTCAGGTTAGCTTGGTTTATTTAAAGAAACATTTACTCTTGGGTATAACTGACACTTTGATATTGATGATCCAAGAAATGATGTGAAATTAAGCCACATTCCAATATCTAGGTCACAGATTCCACAAGATATAAAAAATAACATGTTTGGAGTTCATCATTTTAATTATTTTTTTGGTAATTTTCTTACTAATTATTGGTAAACTCTATCTTGAGATGCATCCTGGGACAAAGCTGAAGGGTTATTATAATATTCTATGTAATACTAAAGAAATGAAATATTCAGAATGAAATTTGACATGAAAAGCTACCTTTACACTTGAATAAACAGAATCTAAGATCTGAGAGCATGCGATCTTTATCAATACCACTGGAGGAATTGACTGTCAGTGGGTTGTGCTTATTGGGTTGCTTGTGAGGAACAGAATAGATTTGTGCTCTTATCGAGCTCAGCAATCACTAGGTACTTGGCCTATTTACATATTCCTTACAAAGCCGGGAAATACAGAGGGAACTCTATGAATAGAATGTGTAACCTTGGCCTCATTGTCAACTATTAAATCTAAATGTAAAATATATGCCTTTCCTTTAGTCTCCAGAGATGCCTCATTTGCTTTTCTTAGTATATAAGTCACTTGAAGGAGTCCAAGTTAGGTTTTATTTGGAAGCTTCAATTACTGCTTGGAGGTCATCACAGAAACTCCTAATGCATTAATGGTCAAGGGGAAGGAGGGGTCTTTATGACCCGGACATGTGTAGGCTGTAGTGACACAATGTCATTCATTACGTTGTTTCTCAAATAATGTCTAAGAATTTCATTACAGCCTTGAATGGGTGCTTGTGATCATCTTAGTCTAACAACCATGTTACTCCCACAGATATGCTCATTATAATTTTTAATTTGACCAGAGAGAGACAAAGAGAAAGAGAAAGAGAAAGTGAGAAGGCAAGCTGGCAGGTTCGGGACTCAAACTGCAGTCAGCCATATGGTGGTTCAGCGACTTAACCACCACGCCACCTGCCGGCCCCCGTTTATCATTTGTTTTGCTCTTGCTGCAAAGTCAAATTTCTATGAAGGTTTCTAAATGGGAAACTTATCCCAGTCTAGACCAGTGACAACATTTCTTCAACTGTCAGCATCACTCTTAGCAAAGCTCTGCTCTCAGTAACCCTAAACTATAAGGAATCAGACTTGGTTCACATTCATGTTGGAATCACCCCAGCAATTCTCACCCTGCCTAGAGTGTTACTTATGCTCAATAAATAGTTTAGTTATCATTTATGAGAAAGCTATTCTATTTTCTATATATACAAGGGGTCTTGCTTAATTCATAACCATTAGAGGGTTAATTCTGGTTCTTTTTCTCATAGTGTGCATATATATTTCTCTGATCTATACAATGTGAATTGTGTATGTGATGTGATGGAACTTCTTGCATATTTTCTTTCTGAAAAATTGTCAATTGGGAAAAGTGGTAATATAAGCATACTTCAAAAAGTTTGTGACAGGCTAGCCATGATAGTGCAGTGTTAATGTAGTGTTCAGCCATGCTGAGGCTACATGGGAGGGCTGCCGGTTCATGTTCCCAAGTCTCTTTGTGTGTTCCAGGTGCACTGCTGTGATCTGTACTGGCTAAATCTGGGAATGGGCACAGTATGAGGACCTACTAGGACACCTGCCTTTCTCTCTCTGTCTTCTTGTCTCCTTCTCTCATTGCATAAATAAGTAAAAAATAAGGAAAGATCTTAGAAAGCTGGGATTAAAGTACAAGCTTATTTTGATGCAAAATAATTTTGAAATCCATGCTGATTTCTTCATAATATTTTTTCTTGAACGTTATGAAGACCTGTTGTAAATAAAGCTCAGTGTCTTATCTTGATCTTACCGGAATCATTTTTAGAACCATTTATCCTCATCTGCAACATGATTTTTCAACACAGATATTTAAATCTGTTGTCTTTTAAATGATATGTGACAGTGTCCCATATTAAAATGGGAAAGTCATTAAGTTAAGACCATCCAGGGCCTTTCAGCAAGTTACATAAGCCTTCTCAGGCTTGGTTTATTCATCAAAGGAGGTTTAACAGTGGAAATAATGATAAGAAAAAACATGTTAAAGACAATGATACAAAAGTTTAAAAAAAATGAAGAGAAAAAAAAAAGAGTCAAGTGATGGCACAGTGGTAACACAACTGGACCCACAGTAGAAGGACCTGGGCTTACTTCCTGGAACTGTGCTCAGCACTCCAGACATACCTGCCTGTGCTTTGGGTAGACTGAGATGGGGTACACTGTGGCACAAAAATTGTGGGGTGTTTCTCTTTCTCCCTTTCTCTTAAAATTTAAAGGAAGGGGACAGCAGTTAGTGTAATGTCTATGTCGCTGGACTCCCACGTAAATAAAAGAAAAAGCTTCGTAGTTTTTGTGGATCTTCAAATGAGAGATCCTTATACTGACTTTTTTTTTTTTTTTTGGAGAGGTTTTTGCTACAGGGCATGTGTGCTCACCAGAAAGACAGAGACAGAGAGACAGAAAGCGA